GGAAAGAGCAGGGCACCTGACGAGCTCCACATTTCTCCCCCAGGTTCTTCTCTGCGGCCCAGTGGGTCCAAAACTGCATGAGCTTCTAGATGACAACGTGTTTGTCCCTCCCGAGTCGCTGCAGGAGGGGGACGAGTTCCACCTCATCCTGGAGTACCAGGCAGGTAAGGGAGGGAGCAGGCGGCAGTGCATGGCCGGCCCGGGGACCAGGCTCAGTGTGCCATGCCAGAAGTGCGTGGGGAGCGGGCCGGCCCTGTTCTGGCCACTCCGGAGCCGCCCCGGCCACTGGCTGTCATCTCAAGGAGCTGGCGAGACTGTAGTCTTGAAAGGCATCCCTAGACCCCGCTCATTGGCGGAACCCAAGTGAGATCAGGCTGCAGGAACACGGGTGTCTCGAATGATGACGGAGGTGTGTTGGGAGACACGCACACACACACACGCACACACATACACACACACACACGCAAAGTTTCCCTTTATTACCGAGAGGAGAGAAGGGCAGGTTAGGTCTGCTGGGCTCTGGGCCGCTTCTGCCTGGGCCTCTGGCCAACCGCTCCAGCCTGCTCACCACTGACTCCGGCCTGGCAGGCTTCTTCCGGAGTGGTTTGTTTTTCCTCGGCTTGCGAGGAGAAAGGTTCTGGGTTGTCATGACTTACTGCTTCCCGCTGCACAGTCTCCCAGGGTAAACCCAGCTCCACCTGGCCCACCCACTCGCAGCCGGTCTTGTGTGCTGTACAGGCCTGAGAGCTGGTTCCCAAGACCCAGAATGCCTGCGTCCCCAGTCCGTGCGTCCTGCTGTGTCCTCTCTCTGCTCCGAACACAGGCTCTTGATAGTTTCGGACTCGACGCAGTATTCGTTCAGGGTAAAGAGGTCCTCAGAACAGTGCCCAGCCAGTGCGCTCCAGGAACTGCTTCGAGACCAGCAGTCCGGCAGCTGCACCTGCTGAAGGGTCACTTCACAGGAGATATGCGTTTGGTGCTCTCCCAAACGCCTTCCTTCAAGCACAGAAAGGAATTGTTTCTCGTTCTGTCTCCACTGAGCACTCGCTGGATTAAGCTGGGAATTCAGGACAGGCAGGGCAGGGTCTGAAATCGGGATGGAACTTTGAAGTGGGCAGTTCCGTTCACTGACACAGTCGTGAGGTCCACCCCCACCTCCATTTCCCCACGCAGCAAACAAAATTGAGAGTCTTCCTGCCCGGGCATGGTGGCAGGGACCTGAGCTCTGCACGCTGAGCTGAGAGCAAGCCTCGTTGGTACTGGGGGGTCTGGAGGGGCAGCTGCCTCTGGTCCCATCTCGCTCTTGCCATCAGCAGCACCTGTGGTGTGACCTGGGCACCTGTGTGTCCTGTTCCTGTCACGCTCCTGGTGACTTGAGTGGAGCCCTTCGGTCATATTTGACTGCTGTGCCTTTTAAACCTGTCCCTGTCGCTTCATTGGCTTTGTGCTTTTGTCTCGCCGTCACCTCCAGTGCCTTGGTACGGAGCAGCAGACCCAGTCAGCTTCATGCCGGCTGAGCCTCAGGGATCTGCATCTGCGCTCCCCACCCAGCTAGGCGGGCAGGAACGTAGACAGAGCCTGAGAAGGAGTGCGGGGCCCTGTGAGAGAGGGGCGTGAACTGCTGCTGCAGGCCGGGTTTCTGGGCTGGCTTTGGGCCACGCCCCCGCCTCTGTCTGGTGGCAGCGGGCAGCCTCCCATTCTTGTCCTTGCCTCCTGCAAGCCCGTTTATTTTTGCCCTCTTGCCTCTCTGGAGAAGTGAATTTATTTTGTGTTTTATTATTGTTGTTGTTGTCCCCCCCAAGGTTTTTGCCACTTAAAGAAAAGATAAATAAAACAGACAGAGAAAGTGAGAGAAATAAGTCCCCGGGGAGGATGCCATACCTTCATCCCATCTCCATTCTCCTCCTGCGGTTTTGGGCACACGCACATGCATCCGGCGTGATTTCCAGGCTGCCAAGCTCAGGACTAGAACCTTGGTTGGCCATGTGGGAGTCCACTCCTTCGCCACCTCTGGACCCCTGAGAAGTGGACTTATTTTGAACGCCGTGCGGCTCCCCTCTCCCAGGAGAGGTTAGTCCATGCCTCTTGTGCGTCACGACATGAGGGTGGCTCCGTGTCTCACTCCGTGGGAAGCACGAGTGAGCTTGTCTGTCTGGTGAGTTTGGGAGACGCTGGCCTTGAGGGCTGTGTCCGTGTGTTGTTGTGAGCATCAAGGCCATCAGTGTGTCCTCTGCTCACAGGCTCTTCTGCTAGTGCCCTCCGTGGCCAGCCACGGGCAAGCGAGGTGGTGAGCAGGTGACAGTGGAAGACGATGCAGGCCCCGCTCCCTGCCTGTAGGAGGGGACATGCGAGGGGATTGTGGCAGGATCGTGTGCCCAGTCCCACACGAGGGTCCAGGGTGGCCCCAGAAATAGTGAGGTCTGCTTGTGGGTGGCAGGGTCAGGAAGCTCCCGCGTTAGAGAGGAGGTACCCCTCATGCCTGGCCTTGAACGGCCCTTACTCCCGACAGCTCACCCAGCGGAGCCACAGCGGCCAGCTTTCTTACCTCCGGGTGGCAGCCGGGCTCCCCCAGGCAGGACGGGGTGTGGTCCGCGTGGCTCCTGGGCCTGCTTGGGCTACAGGTGGGTGACAGGTGCCCTACAGCTGTAAGATGGGCCTGTGGTCCACACACGTGTGCGCATGTGTGTGCCCGAGAGCTCACGGACAGCCATGTGTTCTTGGAACTCGAGGGGGAGCTGATAGCTGTGAGAAGGGCATGCAGCCCCGGGCCGCCTCAGTTTCTCTGGGGCGCTGGGTGCATCTGTCTGCAGTGACCTGGCCTCCTCTGACCTCTGGGAAGGCTGGCGACCCCCCTGGGGCCCACCCAGCAGCACTGAGCTGACCACAGGCCCTCATCCTGGGCTTCCTTCCACCAGAAGCTGGTGTGCCCAGGTCTGAGGCTCCGCAAGTCCCCCCTAGCTTGGACACTTAGACCTGCTTCCTTTTCTTCCCACCATGCCGGGCGTTTCTAGGGGAACAGTGGGGCCAGCTCAGAGCTCCCCATGCCAACCGGTTCATCTTCTCCCACGACCTGTCCAACGGGGCCATGAGCACGCTGGAGGTATTCATGTCCAGCCTGGAGGAGTTCCAGCCAGACCTGGTGGTCCTCTCGGGGCTGCACATGATGGAGGGCCAGAGCGAGGCGCTGCAGAGAAAGAGGCTCTCTGAGGTAACAGTCCTGTTCCGGAGTCCCCAGACCCACCGGTGTCCTCTCTGGGCTGCGTCTCTGGCCGCTGAAGGATGGCCTTATGTGCCCCACCTACAAGGACAGATGTGGCAGCTGCCATGAGGCACCTGGCCCCGTCCGTGTAGGCAGGGCTCTCTGGGACTGGTCTGGACGTCCTGCACTAACCTGAACGGGGCTGTGGGCCCTGTAGGCGTGACCCTGCTGCAGAGAGCACCATGGCTCCTACTGTTGGTCCAGCGGGGAAGCTCACCATGGCCCAGGCCCTGGGGAGTGGCCCATGCCGGGAATACGTGGGGACAGTCTGCATCCCTCCCAGCTCCGTCCCAGCCCTGGGGCTCTGCAGAGCTCAACTCCTCTGCCCGTGGTGGGAGCAGACACTGTGCTGCTTGTGGCTCTCGGGAGGTGCTGCCCCCCAGGACCGGGGTTTCTCCCTTCGTGAGCTCCTTCCTGCCTAGTGGCACTGCTGTGCTCTCCCTGGCAGGTGGTGGCCTCCCTCTCTGACATACCCACTGATGTCCCTGTCCACCTCGAGCTGGCCAGCATGACCAACAGGGAGCTCATGAGCAGCCTCGTCCATCAGGTAACACGTGGGTGGTGGCAGCCACCTTGGCCACCCTTCACAGAAGCCCCTGTGTCTGAGAGGCAGGCGTTCAGGCTCAGAGGATGGGCGTGGGTGTCTTGTCACTCGTGTGGGATCAGGCCAGCACAGCATGTTCTGGAACAGGGTTTCCTGCGAGTTTAGGGACCGGCAGTGTTACTCATGTCTGTGGGTCGTGGCCCTCCCTCTGGAGCAGGAAGTTGGAAGTGAGTGGATCGTGCGGTAGAACGCACAGTAGAACCCTAATACCCAGTTCGGCTGTGCCTGTCGAACTATAGGAAGCTCAGAGGAGGAGCCCGGGGGGCCTCACTCCCTCCTAGCAGGTGTCGCTGTGTTCAGCTCCCGCTCTGGACAGCAGCAGCCACTAGGCAAAGGTGGGTGGACGAGGTGGGGACATGCCCCGAGACCTGGATGGGGTGCCCGCTGTGCCCTCGTGGCTTCGTGTGCCGAGGCAGCTGACTTGACCTCCTGTCTAACTGGTGATAGTCGCATGACCCGGGATCCTGTGACACCCAATGGCATCTCCCTGCCTGCCTGTCCCTGGGCGTAGTTATCCGGCTGCTTCATCTGTGTCCCTCCGGAGGCATTGCCCACATGCGGGAAGATGCAGGGCTGGGTCGCTGCCTTGTCCCCCTCTACCCACCAAGACGGTGTCAGGCACAGGCCTGAGTGCTCGTCGTCCATTGTCACTGCATGTGTCTTGGAGATCTTCCCTGAAAGATCCCGTGCTGAGCGTCGCAGTCTTCCCACAGCCACAGGGCTAGCACGAGTGTTTATCTAACCCGGACCTCTGGCGGGCGTCGGCTGCTCGCTGTGCTTCGCTGCGGTGCCTAACCGTGCACGCCCGATGCTGCCCCTGAGCGCACCATGTGGGCATGCTCGGCATCGCCTGGCTGGACGGAAGCACAGAAGCACTGTAGGCCTGAGATGGCCAGCTCGCCCCGGAGGACAGAGCCAGCGTGCTCCCCACTAGCAGCGTTCATAAGCACCCGAGTGCGCGTACCCTCATTGACACTGGGTGACAGAAAGAAAATGGCATTTCAGTGCGGGTTTTTTGTTTTTTTCCCCCTGTTGTAGACTTCATTGTTTAGGATAGCTTCAGGTTCACAGCAAGATTGTGCCGAGTAGAGTTCACCCTTGCCCACTTTCCCCCCGCAGGGTGCTCCCCCAGCCCCCGAGCCGTGAGGGCTTACAGCTGACAGGCCTGCCGTGGTACTATACCTCCCTAGTCCAGAGTTGGTGCAGTTCTGACGGCGTCTGCTGGGCGTGCAGTGGCAGAGGACAGGAGACCGGGACGATGTGTTCCCGCAGCTTTCCGGTTTCTCCCAAGTGACAGTGCAGGTGGAGCTAGTTAGAGGTGCAGCAGCTGAAGGGGTGGCCTCAGGCCAGGGAGTCTTGCGATAAGGAAGCCCCTGCCCTCGCCATGCAGCTGCTGGCCCTGTGCCGAGGCCCTGGAGCTGGACTGCTGCACCAGAACGAGGCCTGTGTTCTCCTTAGCAGGTCTTCCCTGCGGTGGCGTCCCTGGGTCTGAATGAGCAGGAGCTGCTGTTCCTCAGCCAGTCGGCCTCCGGGCCCCACTCCACCCTCACGTCCTGGAGCGGGGTCCCCGACGTGGGCATGGTGAGTGACATCCTCTTCTGGATATTGAAGGAACATGGGAGGAACCACACCAGGGCCTCGGCCCTCACAAGGATCCACTTCCACACGCTGGCCTACCACATCCTGGCTACCGTGGACGGACACTGGGCCAACCAGCTCGCAGCTGTGGCTGAGTGG